TAAAGTTATTGATTACACCTGTGTTTACCCTGCAATTATATTTCATAATGGCCGCTGTGAAAGAGGTCTAGTTGGGAAAATGTTTCTTTCCTGCTGAGAGTGTCATGAGATGCTGCTCAATAAAGCACGAAGATTAGATACAGGGGAAACAAACTGGCTCTCTGTTCAGAAATACACCCATACTAACACCTCCAAAGCTTACTAATTAACATGTCAGTTTGCTGCTGGTTGCCTGGCAACCTTGTGGCGATTAGAAGACTCTAACATGCCCTGCACATGGATGTATTAGGAGGGCTGGATATGTCTAAAGGTGCCTCAGTGCCCATGTGTAAAGAACAAATCCCCCAAAGAGCATTTTTACCAAAGGTCATCTGTAAAATTGAAAATGCAACAAGCTCAATCCATGGAAGTTTTATATTTGTGAACCATAGCGTCCTCTTATGATACAACCCTGTTTCCAGCATGTACTGTAAAATGACATTATATCATTATTGGACTGATAACAATGCTCTTGAGATCAACACCAAGAAAACTGAGGAAATCATTTTTGGCTCACCATCTGACTCCCATAAAGTCCCCATTGTCATCCATACATATGAAATCAAGCAGGGAGCTTCATACAAATACTTGGGTGTAATGATTGACCATCCGTCTTAGGTCTTTTGGGGCGAGCAGAAAAATTATTCTGTTGTTCTTTACATCTGTGATCATGTCCATTCTACAGTACTGCAATACTACCTGGTACAAATGTTTGTCAGCAGCTTTAAAATCAAAACTGCTCCACCTGTTAAAAATATGTTCAAAGATTGTTGGTCAACCCTTTCAGAGACTCTATGACTCAGCCTATCATAACAACCTAGTGAGGCTGTCCAACAACATAATCTCTGACCCAAACCATGTTCTGAACAGTGAATATGAACTGCTACCATCTAATCGGAGATACAGGGTCCCACGATTCAATAAAGTCCGACTGAAGCACTCCTTTGTGCATCAGTCAATCCTCACAGTAAATACAGAGCTAAATCCCAGATCAAATGCACGCTGAAGGCTCTTTGAGCATGTTTTCTCTCACTGATTGTGCTGTTATGTTAAATGTTTGTTGTTTGTGTTTCATGTATTGTGTCTGGATATTTGTCTGTTGATATTGGACATGGAGCTGCTGTGATGCAAGTCAAATTTCAGACTTGATCTGACCAATAAAGTATTATCGTATCGTATCGTATTATTACATTTCTGTATGTGTAAAAGATCAATCAGATATGATACAGCTTATTAATTACTAACTTTGGAAAGCATAAGGCAATTTTGCTCCTGCTTCCTGTCTGTATGCTATGCTAACCTAAGCTAATGTTCTGCTCAGTTTGGTATTGAAGCTAGCTATCTGTAGCCAGGGGGTCTCGGTCAGTTTATCTGTGATGTTGAACTTGACTGACACCAATCTAATGGTAAGAAAGGCTTTCTTACTGGAAACAATGGGGGGAAGCTACTTGTGAGTAAACATCTGCTCCCCCTGCTGTATTTTCATTCATGAAGACATTAGCTGAATCCAAATGTGTAACTCAGACCTCAGACTGTCATTTGATATAATCTAACATTGACTCAAGTGCTCCGTATGTCTGTGTGAAAGGTAGCAGAAGACAAAATAAAATTGGGAATGCCTGGTAAAGAATATACTTATTTACTCTCATGTCTATAGATACGACGGGTCGTTTTTTCCTGTTCTTATACTGACTGCAGATAATTCACCACCATTTGATCTCTTTGAACTGTTGAAGCTGACATCTAGATCACCCACAGTCATTCAAGTCCTGAGAGCAGATTCCATAAATATTGAAATGTGAAAATAATGGTTTTAAAATGGACAACCTTGAAGTAACTTAAGAAATAAATTGCTATGTCTTCAGAAAAATCCACATTACAGTTTGATATTTGTAAAAGCAGCTAACAACCTCAGAATTAACAAACCATGCAAACATGAAATATTACTTTTTGTTCCACAACAGGATACTAGTAACAGATTTAATCAAAAACAAAGAGCAAACGCATTTCGTATGTTGTTTAATCAGAATCACTTCAAAGCGGGTGTGTTGGAACATGGTATAGCAAGTGTCTATCTTAATATCCTGGGGTGCTTGAGATCTTTGATTTATTTTTGGTTTACACTCTACCAGCTGGCACCCGAGAGAGGAACAGCTGTGCATGGGGTGTATTTAGTTTTGTGTACATTACTTTTTGTTTAATATTCTTCCTTCTTTTCTTATTTTATGCTTTTATCTGTTCCAAAGCTTTTTCCGGTTTTAAAAATAATTTGTGATTATATTTCGGGACTAAACTAGATTTTCTTTTCCTTTACACTTTATATGGTTAATATTGATATGTATCTGGAATTCAAATGTGGATTATTATGTACATGTCATTATTACGCAGTGTAAATTGTTAAATCTTAATCTCTGTGTTTAATGTGCTGCCATTATGTTGCAACATTGATTCAATGATCATTAAGGGATTCGAATATGGAACACTCTGAGTCATTAAAGCTGACTTTTTTAATGTTTAACTAACTGGCGTTTCTATTATTTTGTACACTGTTAGAAATTAAAATCAATGTTTTAATGAGGAAATGTAGTTTAAACATGCCGTCAGTTTTAATGCAGTTTTACACTGAAAAACCAGAAATTCTTGTGCACAACCAGCTGTTAAGCTTTATTCTGAAACTCTTTCATCTCCGGTTGGCAGTTAGCATGTGGTAAATTTACAATTTCCTAAAGAGGTGAATTTAGTAGCGAAATTATATGGAGTGGTGCAAACCGAAGCCTACTGATTTAACACTACAACTATAGATGTCGAGATACTACCATGCTGAATATTAAATGAAGGTACAGTTTATTTGAATACATTATTGTTTACAGACGAGAGTAGCATGTGACAACATCCGGAATGACCGGAAACCAAACGAGCCGAGAAGTATTTTTTAGAGTATTGATTACAGCGTTTAGAATGTGTTACATGAAAAGTGATGAAAGAGAATATGAGGAGAAAAGGCGTGTTAAGCATATATTGAATGTGAAAAGAACCAATCCTCTGTTTAAATGCAACAACGGACATTATGCTTAACACGCCTTTTCTCCTCATATTCTCTTTCATCACTTTTCATGNTCTGTACCCTTTCTTTATTTATTGGAAGTGCTTGTTAATGAATACTTGTGAATTGGCTCTTTCCATAAATGGCAACATGAAAAGCACAAACTTTGGCTAATGGTAATGACATACTCTGATGGTGCCATACCAAAGTTCCAAGGTTTTCTTTGGTGTTTTCATGAGCTTTAAGTCATCATGTCATAGTCAGGAACCCTAATGTTCTATACCACATCAATAAAATATGCACTATCTCGAAATGTAAATGAAAGACACATTTCCACGCCTTGATTTGGATACGCTCCAAAATGTTATTTAGTAGAAGAACCCTTCCACCAATTCCATTAAAATCAGGCAAGTAGTTTGTCCATTTGCTTATCAGCATGATTACGATAACGACAAGACAAACTAACCTGAAAAGAGATTGATGTTGGTATTGTCCAGCAAATGTACACAGGCAAATATTTGTTCAGCATTTGATCCACCCTTTAAGATTTCATCTTGTAAGCCATCCATTGTTTTCCATCTTTACTTTTTTAAAAGATTCACCGCAGCATAGCACTGTCTTAACATAACGCTGAGGTAATGAGATAAACACTCACATTATATGCATTAACATTTTAACAATACCTTTAGGCACCAGCACAACATGTTCTGTAATACAAAATGAAGTACTTATTGGTACTTTCAGTACCGTGTTCATCACTGACTCTTATATGCATCAGTCTGTGAGCACTCATTGTAGATGATTCATTCCTTTTGAGAAAGGCTTTTTAACCACAACTTGATTTTAACATGATTATATCTCAGAGACAGTTTTATCCCACAGGCCATAAGACTACTTAATGCCTGAGCTTGCACACATTGTATTGTTCTTATTTTCTAAATGTTTATGTCTTGTATTTGCATTGCTGAGGAACCTGTGACCCAAGTTTTGTATTCATTATTTGACAATAAACCATTGAATCTTGAATCTTCTCCATTGTAATAATATAAAGATCCACAGCAAAGCTTTGCTCTCTAAGGCAAAGTTTGCCACTTTTTTATAAACAGCTCAAGGTTAGATAGGATTGACTAAAATGGTATTCCCCCAAGGACTTCATCAAAAGCCATTCAGTTCTAAAGCACAAATCAAAGTCAAGAATCTGCATTGCGTCCTTCTTTATATACTTCTGTTGTTTGGCAGTACTTATTTTACTCCATTAAAGGATCTAAATTAACACGATCTATCTGGTTAACTTAACACAATAACCAAACTAAAAGCTACAGATAAACCAGAAAGCTTAAGCATATTTTTCTTTAATACATGATACGGATAACTTTCTGCTTGGCTTTCATCTCCATTAGCCTACATTTCAATAATTGATTTAATAAAAAAAACTTTGTCTGATCTGTTTCCACACTGAATCCCACAGCCCTTTCCTTTTTGGTTCTGGCTGCCCTTTCTTTTCCCACTGCGTTCTCAAAGAGGCCAACTCGAGGACACATTTCCCTACCAATGGTCCAGAACTACGTTTCTTCATAGTAGATGTATTTTTCATACTTTGTATGTGTAAATCCAACAGGGGGTTCAACTTTCTTGAACCCCGACGGGGACTCTGGAACGGAGGCAGACAGCGAGCCTCAGCTGGCCTTTTACACCGACCCAAACCGCAGTCGACGCCGGAGTCGAGGTATGAGAAACGGTAACGCCAACAGCGCGTGGGGCTCAGGGGGTAAGGAGAATTCACCTACAGTCAGTTTATCCCGCCGTCAGATGGTTCTACCATCGCCATGACGCATGACTAGTAACCTTGACAATGCATAAAGCAGATGGAAAGGCACCAGTGTTGTATGTGTGTGTGCTCGTGATTTAGACTCCAAGGAAAGTGTGGAGTTTGTGTATACGGTATGGTGTGTGTGTACATACTAGGTGTGTTTCTTAAAAGTGGTTGTGAGCATGTTACTCTGCATCTGCATACAATCTTGTTGACTGAAATGAAACATGACAACGAGATCAGAGGTTTTGGTGGCGACTATTTAGATATGGATTGCATCTCGTGACGTGCAAAACACTGTATCTTGAAATAATATTTCACACACGTATTATTTCTAAAGAGAAGACTGTGCCAATGTGTCTAAGTGAAGTGTTGTGGCACGCTTCATCTGTCAGCATGCCATTGTCCTTGCAGCTGTGATGTACAGTAAGGGGGTGTGGGATACAGACACGGGGGGGTTAAAAAATAACGAGACAATTTATTGAAAATAATAGCTGCTGTCAGAAGGCGTTACAAGCTTTCAAAACGCCTCAAAGCCTATTACTCCACTGTCATGTTTCACAAACATGGCGATATCTCCAGAAGTTTAGCCAAACCTTTAATTAAAACTAAGCTTACGGAAATAATACATTGGTTGCAATAGTGCCCTAACAATGTTGTTTACATCCAGAGGAAAGGAATTATTTGTGAGGCGTGATAGAATAATTTCCTTAAGTCATAGGGATGATGAGTGTGAGGATATCGGAAGATTTCACGTTTTTTTATGTAATGTCTACTCCAGGGAAATTCATTTAAAAAGGAGATATTATATCCTGCATACAGCTATTGATTTCTCGATTGAATAAACTAGCTTTGTACATAATAGGATAGGTAAGATTTCTACTTTGTTAAAGGATCCTGTAGCTCCCTCCAGTAATAGACACCAGTCATCAAGTCTTGATTAAAAAAACACGGTTTAGTTTCATACCTGACCAACCCATTCGAACAGGGGTTAACAAGAGAAGAAAAACAGGTATAAAAATGATTAACTGCATGTATTTTACAATTTACTATGCGTATACCACTTAAGCTTACAATAGAAATAATGGAGATGGACATTTATAGCATAGAACACGTCCCACAAGCTAACACACATACACAAACAAACGCCTGTAACTTGCAGCTTATCCGAACAAACCTAATTGAAATTAAATAATCATACAAAAAGGCTGCCTACTACTGAGAGTGGCTGGATTCTCAATACTGCATCCTGAAGTTATTTCCATCAACTTAGCTTGAGAGCTTTTTCCTGTAACACAATTCTCCTGTGCTTAGACTGTCAAGTGCACCAATTAATTATTACGTGGCAAATGCTACACCGTAGATTTGTTCCTCCCCTAATAATGCTACACCTTTACAGGTATAGGAACTGTAATTTGTGATTTAGAGCTGTAAGGAAATTAACTGAAAATGTAAGGCAGTTACACATCCCCTCAGGCAGCTTCTGAATGAGAAAGTTATGCTAAAATGTACAATGTAATCTAGACCTATTCTGATACTGTATGAGAAAATAACAATTTTAAACAAAGTGAGTGGCTTTATTCAAGGTTAAATGTGTTGTATCGTGTGTGTTTGTGTGTTTGTGCTTGCCCCTGTGGGTCATGTTTAACACTTTCCGTGTTGCACTCTGGAGAAAAGAGATAAGGGAAGCAACCTCGCTCTGGCGGAAAGGGAGAGCAAAGGAAAGATGGGAAGGTTGCAAAACAACCTCTGGACCATTTCTATTTAGGCCCATGTGTCTTTTTCCCGTCGCATCCCTGCATGGATGTTAAAACCCTTCAAAGGTAAACCATATTGCTGGGCCAGCGAGCTATGCCTTTTCTAAACCTCCCAAAGGCTTGATGTTTTTGATCCAAATGTCCTTTTCATGGACGCTAAGCTCCTTTTCTTGGCTTGTTTGTGAAATATCTCCATTTGTAATCGTGTGCGTATGTTTGTGTGGTTGTGTGCATGTTTCAGGGTATTTAGGGGATTAAAGAACGGTCACTGCTTCAGATATCTTTATCGTTTGTTGTTCCCACCTCTCCCCACTCCCTGCCTGTGCATTTGTTCCCAGCAGCAGGTTCCCCACGGAGTCCCATCAATAAGACCACCCTGACTTTGATCAGTGTCATCAGCTGCGTGATCGGCCTGGTGTACTCCTCTCACATGTCCTGCAGCATCGCAGTACGGGTGATTCTACACGTTCCAGAGCACCTCATCGCTGACGGTAAGTCTCTTCTCTCGCCTCACGGTCAAGTGTTCTCCGTTTTTTGGTGCAGTTTCCCCACTTGAAAGGGACTTGAAGCATCTACATGACTTCTAACTGGATTCCACTCCAATGACACAGCAACTGTTACTTTTTCAGTCTTTTATTTCAGTAGTTTACTCGAAAAATCAATTTCCATTTAGTTGCCGAACTGGTCTTATAGGTGAAACACCATTGAAGACAAGAAAGATGCATTAGAAAACTTGCAATAGTCATTAAAATAAATAAAACATGCAAACAATACACTGACACTGCTGCCTTATGTACGTATATTTGACAAATAAACTGGGCAGACTAAACACATAAATATTAATTATAAATATGAAATCAATTCGCTAAACCCAAGCTTTTATTTTAAATCCCAGCAGATTTAATTAACTTGATTTTATTAGAAATGTTTTTAACAAATCAAATGAATTATGTTTAAACAAGTAAGATTCTTTACTCTGTTTTAACAGAAGTATTCAACAAACTAAACGACTTTATTATCAATGTTTTTAATAAATCAAATGTATTATTTTAACAAGAAAGATTCTTTCCTCTGTTTTAACAGGAATATTCAGCGAATTAGAGAAGACTTTATTAGCAATGTAGCTGGACTCTTTCTCCATACATTTCTCTGGGTGCTCGATACCCCAGGCGACTGAGCTGGCATTTTTTCTGCCACTCTCCAAGGAGTTATTCTCGCCATTTCTCTCAAACAGAGTGCCTGTGTTTCTCGTGTAGCTGGCCGATTTGCTTTGCTCTCTCTCAAAGACAAAAGTAAAATGCCAGGTCGCCCACCCCCTCCCTGCGTTTCCCATGTGAGGCCACACAACAGATGTGCCCTCAAAGCATCAGAGCACATTGAGGCCAGGTTGCAGTGACCACCCGCAGCACACCCTCCATCACTCTTCCCCTTGTACTTTCTGATATGTTGAACCACTGTGCTAATGAATTCCAATGTAGCACCTGAAGAAGAAAAAAAGCACTGCGGGGGCCGAGCACTGGCTCCTGCTGGCTCTTTGGCATTTTTCAGCCGTCACACGAGTGAGCTGGCAGTCCAGATATATTATAGACTTTGACTACGCTCGCTCATCTATCATCCCGAGGTCTGATTTGATTCGGAGCACTGCTGCTTTCCGATGGTGTACACGGGCCTGCCAGGGAGATATTAACATTCCAGGGAGGTGTCCAAGGGGTAACTTTGAAAGGGGAGATGAGAGATGGTGGATTCGCCTGTAGAATTACAAAAACTGGGATCGATTTAGAATGTTTCCATAAATGTCTCCACAATCTCATCACACTTTGATTTGATGTCATGGTGAATCAGATGAGTATCTGGATTCTACCACTGGGGAAAGAAGCTATTAATGCAAACAGCTGCGCGTGTGTCCGCCTGTGAAGAAAAAGCACAGAACGTAGCGTCACACCTTTTCCCTTGCCTTTCACATCAGGTAAAGTAATCAATCAGGGGATGTTTCTACTGCTACTGCTATTCAAAATACATAACAAAGGACAGAACAAACATTTCTTTATGACTACCTCACATTCTAAAATAGAAATGTGGGAATGGTTTATCATCGGAAATTGTATCTTTTAGAAATAGTATTCCTATCTTTGTCCTTGGACGTGTCAATTTGCATTTACAATTATGACTATTGAAGTCCCAGTTGCAGTGTAGCTCAATAATCTAATGCACACAACATTGAAGTGTAAGTGTAAGCTGGCGATTTCTGTTTAATGTCCTCCCTCCGGTGAAGGACCTTCATACCCCCGCCACCAGTGATACCTACTGAATTTCAGTTTCTCAATCCCTCATTAAAATATGAAGGCTGTCTTAAATAATTAAAAGCAACTGATAAAGAGGGAAAACATACTTTCATGCTGTTCAAAACAATAACTGAACCAAAATCTACAGCCAAGGTGCAGGCTTCATCAGGTCTTAATTAAGCACAATGTTAATTAGAGCTAAATACTTACATAAGCATGTGCCAATGCTTACAGTGCCGATTTTAAAAATGAAATATATTTTGCAGGTTTAATATCTTTACTTAGTTTTTTTGTAGATATTGGTTAATAAACCCAAAAATAAACTTTGAACTGATGATGGACAAAGGTCACTAAAGTCATCACAATTCCACATCAGGGGAATATATGTGCCAGATGTAATGGCAATCCGTAAAGTATAGTTGTTCAGACATTTCACTTAAAGCCACACATGTTAACACCAGGGTGGTGCTCGAGGAATATTCTGGTGACTTTGAATGTTTTTATTATTTATCTTCTTGGCACCATGACTGTATGTACAAAAACTCATACAATCCATCCAATAGTTAAACTGGAACAAAAGCAGAGACCAACTGTGAAGGACCAGGGTACGCAAAAACTAAGAATGCAGGTTGATGTGGAGAAAATAAGGATTTTATTTATCCAATATATTTACATTTTTAGGATGGGTAACAAAATGAATTAGGTTTAAAAAAAAAAAAAAGGTGTATTATTAATAATATAAACAGATACAATCTAGCATTAATGAATAAACAAAAAACGTCACCAAATTGGGAGACTTTCTGTGTGCTTCTATCCAAGAGCAACTCACATACACACCCCGCCTTCCTCTCCACACTGCAGGCATTTATATGGGTGGCTTAAATGACGTGGCCTCTTTAAACACCCCTTAGGGTTTGAGGGGAATTGCGTTGTCCAATTAGCTGGGCACATCTATTTAGGCAGGTGGTGTTCATCAGCTCAGCCTTTTGCCAGGAGCAACGTGAGCTGCAAGACACTAACAACAGGATTAACACAACACAATTAACAATAATTATTTTAAACCAGATTCCGTGCACTCAATCTAGTTAAATAAAGAAAGAAAAATGTGTCTGTGTATGTATAGTTTAAAACAAACGCATAACCTTTAACATGTGTGGTTGTTTGTGAGGCTTGTAGCCTTCACACCAACCATCCAGCAAACATTATCATGGAGCCACGTCACTAGAGCTGCTAAAAACATGTACCAATGGCCAATAAAGGTCTTCTTTAAATTAATATAGGAATATTTATGCATAAAATAGTAGACACTTTTTTTGTCGATAATACATTTTGCTCCATCTTTGTTTTACTTTCATCTTATGTATTTGCTAAAAAATGGAAGAAGACTTTTTTGCTAAGACTGAGTCTTGTTTTTTTTCTTCCAACTGCTACCTTCATGTGACATCCCACTAGATAAATTACAAGAGGAATGCCTACTATCCAGTACATTTCTGTTTTCAACATTCTTTCTGAATTTTGAAAAAGGGAGAGGTCAAGGTTCCATGAGATGGCCATGACAATACAGTCTCTCACTTTTTCTATTTTCTCTGTCAAGTGAGGAATAAAGGCAAAAATCACAAAAACAAACACATATATGTTATTTCTACAGTTTAGGTCAGATACTCAATGCTTCATTGTTCCTTTCTTTTTGCCCATTATTTCATTTATGAAACATTGTCCAGGGATATTACATACCAACTCTATTCAGACTGAAGTGCTGTAGTGTGGTGCTTACATCAGCTATTAAGCCACTCCACATATTCTAGCCCTGAAAGTCTATTCAGCGTAACGTAGCCTCCTGTGAGATTCACACTTGAGATGATTAAGAATATCTGAATAACGTTGGCTAAGGTTTCATATTTTAAGTCTAATTTTCTTAATGTCAAATGTCAGTAAGTACAGTCTTTCTTGGATCCATCCACAAAGCATTTATGTTTAATATCAGAAATCCTTTTCATGATTGAAAAACACAAATATTGCATATTCTCGATTGCCAGAGACATCAAACAGGACATTAAATGTGCCATCAAAAATTAAAAAACATGATTGGTGTCTATAGTTTCAGAGTTTTTATGAGCAACTTTATGGCTCTCCAAGATTAGTCAAACGAGATTTGTCCGGCCAGTGTAGTGGGTGCTCTATTTTTAAGTGATCATCAAAGGGGATGGCACTAACTAGGGCACACATAGCCTGCCAAGTAGTCATTAAATATGCCTGGGTTAAAAAAGCCCAGTGCACCCCATGTTTTCAAAAAGACAGGGCTTTGGTCAATGAGTGTTAATGCTAGTTTGCAAAGATCACACAGAGGATAACTCTCAGTATACGCTGTTCTAGTGACACCTGCCGTGTCAGATGTCCTGGGGCAACTGTCTCCCAGCAACAGACTCGTGGCTTTTGGGGCTTTTACTTCAAGTTATTTAATAAAATAAACAATGCAAACTGCCTTGAAAACTTGTGATAGCTTCTAGTGTAATCAATGTAACCATTCAAATCAACTTTTAAATCAGTAAAGATGTCAGATACATCGGACACACATATTCAGTCCTGTTATTTCCTTATTAATAAAGTAAGGCATGTCACAATGTTAAAAGTATGTAGGTCACTTTGGATGAAAACGTTAAATAAAATGCAACGGAATGGAATGTAACAGAATAATTGCAGTTTACCTCAAATAGTCAAATCCCCGAATGTATGATTACAAAATGGAGCCTTTCTTCATTGTACATTTTTCAATTTATCAGCACATTTTCTCACATGTACGGTACCCTTTACCATGGCTAAAAATAAGCGTCTAGTAAACAACGAGCAGATCAAATTAAAAAATAAATGTTTAACTAATTAAAATCTCCATTGACTGGGCCCTTTCAGGCCGCGGATGTGTTGACCTGACATGGCAATGCAGCCCTAATTCCATCACGCTGCTTTATTTATGTCACAAGTGCCACTAATAATACACATGAAAAGATCACAGCGTAGGAGTGCAATTTGTGAGTGGATTCCTGGGGAGTTCTGGAGGAAAACAGCTCAGAAGCTGTTAATTAGTTGTTGGTGAAATTCTACCGTTATTGCACACAACCACAGAGAAGCCTGAACAGTTTGAGGGGTGCATTTTCTTATGGACTCTCAACTTTAACCGAGTTACTATGCAGTTACAGTCACCAGGGCATGTGGCCAATTTAATTTGAGTACACCATCACCTTAAACATAACTGCATTAAACACGGACTGTATATAAAGTAATTGGCTCAGTAAAGAACTCATCCAAAAGGAGAACAGACCATAACACAATTTCACACTGCACTGGTGGGAAGGACACAAAAATACATTGTTTATCAGTAAGGCCGCAGCCAAACAGAGTCCTTCCTGTAGTGCATGTGATTTATTCAAATGACGACACTGTCTGAACCATACACCCTTTTAATTATTGCAAATATGTATCCGAACACCATGGGAAATGTGTACACATAAAAGTCAATGCTCTATTTTCTTCACTGTTGCCTTCCTCCTGTTGCAAAGTGGCTGCATGTGGTTACTGATAATAATCAAAACAAGTGTTAGGCTTTCTACAACAGGCATCGTGTTTTTAGAATGTTTCTCACAGTTTGAATATTTTTCATATTTTAATTTTGCAGCTGTCAATGTTTGTTATCTTGGCTGGATGTCAGCTCCTGCTTCAATAATAATGAATAATAATTATTCATTTTCAGATATCACAGTTGTTGAAACATTCACAGTGTTTCATGTTTGTTAGGCCAGGTTAATCTCCTTAGCTTATCAAATATTTACATTTTGGCGTACTAAAATATTTTATTTTGAAGGTTTTCTAACACTGATGGTTCTCATTCCTTATTTTCCCATTTGGATTTCGAGTGTATGATAATATTTTCCCTGCTGTCTTTGAATCATCTTAAGATAATTTTGCAGCAAGGTCCAACACATACTGTGGCCTTGTCCTGATATTTCTAGTGAACGTTATAAATAAGTTATTTTCTTATTCTTGGCGGTTTTCTACAATCCCTCCACCTGTCATGCATTTATTATATCCATCTCTGTCATTACCTCTCCCTGACTCCTCTACCCTTTACCCCTCTCTCCTCTGTCCCCCTCAGGATCGAGGTTTATTTTGCTGCAGGGGAGCCAGATGGACGCTTCAGACTGGTTGAACCCGGCCCAGATCTTGTTGTATTACCAACAGAACGCCAGTGGTCCCTGGGTCAACGAGCTGTGTGGACGCCGCCTCCTGGACCCCTGTGAGCACCAATGTGATCCTGAGACAGGTAAGCTGAGAACGCAACTTAAAGGTCACCTATTATGCAAAATCCACTTTTCCATGTCTTTGATACATAAACATGTGTCCCCTCTGTGTAAAGATATTCTGAAAGTTTCAGGAAATCTCACTGTGTGTCCTGATCCATTTATATTGTAACATGTCTGAAAATGAGCTGATCACATTTTCGCCACTTTATGATGACATAACGATTTTTTTTCCCAGCTAAGTAACCTAGTACTTAAAAGCTACATTTACTGCTACTTCTGCAGTTTAACTGTTTTATCAGATGGGGGACTTTATTATAATTCTGCTAAAATGTTTTTTTAATGTATAACTGACCTGTACATCAGATGTAATATTCATTGGAAGACATATGTCTTCCAATGAATATTAAATCTGATGTATCTTTAGATACTTAAAGTAATCTGGTTGGCTGATAATGAGCAATATCGTCACAGGACCATTAGCCACATTCACAAACCATGTCATTCTGCACACGGTTATTGGACAAAACAGCAATGGCCAGTATCCAGTAGAGAAAAGTGGTAAGATACAGAAGGTGTTGTGCTAACAAAGATTGTACGACGAAAATGTGAAACCTTTTTATTTGTATAACAAACTAACACTTATTGGCATACACGTGAAATTGCACTTGTCCCTTATTCTTCAAGAAAATACAGTTGATCACTTAAGAGACAGCTTGTTCATAGCATTATATAACATTATTTTCAAATTGTTTACGACTTGCCAACTTGCCGTAATAGGAGGCACAGAGGTTCAAGGTATTGTCATACTGAGTTCCAGTCCTGCAGAAGGTCTCCAGAATCTGCAGTGTTTATCACCCATTGTTTTTTATCACTCATTGTGGCTGTTTGAAGGAGCCTCTTTCATTGTTTACTGGTGTGGCCATGACTAGGGTCTATCGAACTGCAGGCCTGAAATGGAAAATAGATTTCCTGGAGCACTCCTTCTGACTTTCCCATAGTCATTTGATCAATCAAATCATTCAATACAATTGGCTGATCAAATGACAATTGATCCAATAGACCAATGAAATGAATTGATCAAACTGGCTAATCGAAGGACTTGATTTAATTAGCCAATTAAAATACTCTGTACAACAGATCAATCAAATGACTTGATACAAATAATGGGAAAACGATGGGACCAAATTGAACAACTTGATATAAAGGGCCATACATTTATATTTATGCACATAGTTTTTTCTTCAGCTTTTATTTGTCATCCTTTGTGAAAGCTTGAATTGTTTTTTATTTATTGAATTGTTATTGGCCCTTATTGAAGTGCATACACAATGATTATCATAACATCTGCAGTTATCTATCAATAATCTATTTCACTCTGTTTATAGTTTGTTTTGCACAATAAAAAAGTGTGTTTGTGTTACGGCCACAGTCTACTCAGCAGTAGTGGCTCGCACTGAGACCCGCAACATGAAAAATACACGCAAAAACCAGTACTTAGTAACGAACATTTATTATTATTATTATTATTATTATTATCCCATCTTCTTACAAAAGCCAAACTATAAATGAAAAAGGTCTGGAGGACTGGCCAATAGGAACAAAAGGAAGGATGGTGCCCGAGCCAGCCACACTAGGGGCCGTAGGACGCAGAGCTCCCCCCCCCTGAACCAAAAGTCAGGCGTAAACCCTATGGAAACAAAGAAAGCTGCGAAAACTGGACTACCAGGTCCTCCAGGCTAAATATAAACACTTCTACAAGACACATACGATACGATACGATAATACTTTATTGGTCAGATCAAGTCTGAAATTTGACATGCGTCACAGCAGCTCCATGTCCAACATCAACAGACAAGTATCCAGACACAATACATGAAACACAAACAACAAACATTTAACATAACAGCACAATCAGTGAGAGAAAACATGCTCAAAGAACATGATAGCTCAAGCCCCACTATACCAAAAAGGTTCTTTAAAGGAGAGTGTTTCCCAGCACCAGAAAAGGCGAGACATCCTTTTCCTCCAGCTTCTCTTTATATATCCGCGACTGAGTGGAATTGGGAACACCTGGGCAGAGGCGGAGCAAGAGGCAGACCAGGTGCACCTGCGCAACAGGGAGAGAGAAAGAAAACAAGGAGGGGAGCACGCAACAGTTTGAGTAGCATTATAATACAGACGAATGAGCAATGGGTTGGAGGGAATATGTTCTGTAATCTTGATGGCTTGACAGAAATGACTGATGGATTATGCTCGAGGTGTGTTGAAAAGCAGCTTGTCAATAACTTTGGATTGATGTGGCATTATATAAATGTTTCTTTGTGACCTAAAAAATGCAGATGAAAAGCAAATCTAGCTCAGCACAATATTCTATGTGGGGCCGTTCAGGCCGTAATTCATACTGGTCCTCAAACATATACAGTACATTCTCCTTTTACATACACATATTTTCACTCTTACACACATACATTCTCCTTTTACATACATATATTTTGACTCTCATATACATATATATTTACACTCACACATTCATACATTTCGCTCTCATGTTATCATATATCAATGCACACATTCATAGATGTTTCACTCACAGATTTATACATTTTGCTCTCGTGCACATTCAATCAATAAATTATACATTTAATATTATAAATAATATATGCATGTCTGAAGACTATATGTATGCAAGAGAAGAATGCATGTATGTGTGAGAGAAAGTATAGTGGAAACGGAAGGAGTATAGTTGAAACGGAAGGCAGGTCATTATCGCGCTGTGATTGGTTCAGGAGGTCGAGCTGGGCGGGCTCATGTTCAGAACTTCGGATTCAAATCAACATGATGGAGGGAGATGAATCCGTGTATCTATGGACCATTTGTTTTTCTTTATTAAAAAAGTAAACGGAAGAGCGTCTGAGAGGCGTTTTTGCCCTTTTGCTTTTTACCTTACTAAATGGTCTAATGGTCATTGGAGAAAAGAAAGTGAAAATGAATGTTATTAAGGGCTGTAAATATAATAAGCCTATGTCTAAAATGGTCAACATTGTTAGGAGATTTAAACTATACAGCGATTCTGCACTGCGGTCACCTCAGCCGTCTCTCGAGTTTGTTTTT